GTGAAGGAGACGCTGGAGTTCGCTCATGAGTTCGCTGGTAAGAAGTTGATTCACGAAGGAGAACAACGGCTTACCAAGGGCTCGGTTGAGGAAAACATGAATGCTTTGAACGTCTCGAAAGCCCTTTCTGATCACTACCCGGATGTTGTTATCCGTCAACTCGGTCTCGAGAACTGCCAGGACACGATTGTCGGGGATGTGATGCATCGCGGTGTGTCGGGTGGAGAGCGCAAGCGAGTCACGACTGGAGAAATGGAGTTCGGAACAAAGACTGTGGTCTTGATGGACGAGATCAGTACCGGTTTGGACAGTGCTGCCACGTTCGACATCATCAACACGCAGCGTAGTGTTGCTACCAAGTTGAACAAGACAGTCGTGATCGCGCTGCTCCAGCCTGCTCCCGAGGTCTTTGATCTCTTTGACGACGTGCTGATCCTGAACGAAGGTGAAGTGATGTATCATGGGCCTCGTGAGGAAGCCGACAGCTATTTCGCGTCGATGGGGTTTGTTCGACCTCCTGGACGTGATGTGGCCGATTTCCTACTGGATTTGGGTACCAAACAGCAGCGTCAATACGAACGCGCCTTACCTGTTGGTATGAACGCTTTTCCACGTGAAGCAAGAGAGTTCGCAACTATTTTCCGACAGTCGAGGATTTTCCATGACATGCTTCGTAGGCTGGAAGAGCCTCTGGATCGTGAGTTGTTGGGCCGCAAGGGAGAAGATATGGACTCAGTACCAGAATTCCAGCAAACGTTTTGGAACAGCACGATGACGCTAATGCATAGACAGGCAATGCTGACGATCCGGGAAAAAGAATTTCTGATCTCTCGTGCTGTCATGATCACGTTGATGGGTTTACTCAATGCATCCACGTTCTGGGATGTCGACCCGACCAACGCTCAAGTGATGTTGGGGGTTTTATTCCAGTGCATCCTCTTCTTGGCGGTCGGGCAGACTTCTTTAATCCCGATGTTCATGGCTGCGCGAGATGTCTTCTACAAGCAACGTGGGGCAAACTTCTACAAGACATCAGCTTACGTGTTGTCGTGCTCCGTCGCCCAACTTCCATTGGCTATTGGTGAAAGTTTGGTGTTCGGTACGCTGATCTACTGGCTCTGTGGCTTCGTGAGCTCAGCTGAAAACTTCATCATTTTCATGATTTTGTTGATGATGACGAATTTGGCGTTTGCTGCGTGGTTCTTCTTCATCACGGCAATCTCGCCCGATATTCACATCTCCAAGCCAATTGCGATGATGTCTATCGTCTACTTCATCCTGTTCGCTGGATTTGTCGTCACGAAAGACCAAGTGCCTGATTATTTCATTTGGTTGTATTGGCTGGATCCGATTTCGTGGTGTCTGAGAGCTCTCGCGGTTAACCAGTATCGTTCATCGGCATTCGACGTTTGTGTGTACGACGGAATTGACTATTGTTTGCAGTTTGATATGAACGCAGGCGAGTACTACATGTCGCTCTTTGACATTCCCTCGGACAAGTTTTGGATTGTGTGCGGTGCTGGCTTCATGGTGGGTGCATACGTTGTATTTATGATGCTTAGTGTACTTGTGCTTGAGTACAAGCGATACGAAGGCCCCGAAAACGTTACGTTGACGAAGAAGACTATCGAGGACGCGGACAACTACGTGACGTTAGAAACGCCTAAGACTGAAGTAAACCAGATGATCTTTCCGAACACGTCAACTGTGCTCGATGTCAGCGAAAAAGAGAAGAATTTCGTCCCGGTAACGCTTGCTTTCCAGGATTTACGGTATTCAGTGAAATCGCCGTCCAACCCCAATGAGTCGCTGGACTTGCTGAAAGGCATCAGTGGGTTTGCTTTGCCAGGCACCATCACTGCACTTATGGGCTCTTCTGGTGCTGGAAAAACGACACTGATGGACGTGATTGCCGGTCGGAAGACGGAAGGGACCATCAACGGCAAGATCCTGCTTAACGGCTACGAAGCTACAGACC